GACCCTCCTCCCGCTGGCCCCAGGCAACCTGCGCAGGCCCCCCACACACACCCAGCTGTGGCTGGGCTCCGTGCACCTGCTCACTCCCTCTTCCCCCGTCCCTGCTGCTGCTTTTACCACTTCCACTGGCCACTCCTGCACGTGGCTCCCGGCTGCATGGGAGCATGGGGCCCATGCCAGTACCCCAGGGTTAGGAGTGGGAGGGTATGCGTGTGTGTGCACGCATCCATTCAATGAGGGAGGGACAGAGTGTGCATGTGTGTGTTTGTAGGGCGAGTCCCACATGCACACCCCAGCATACACATGCACCCACACCCCTCCTCGCACTGCCATATACTCAGACCCCCACACCCACATCCCCTCACATACCCCAACCACCCTCCCCTGACACAGCCCTCCACAAATGCCATATCCACCCACACTAGACATATCCACACACACACCTATATGCTCCCTCACCCCACACCCACCACACCTATCCACCCCCCAAGCCCTCCCCACACCCACACCCTTCCCCACACCCACATCCCCCCACAAACCTATACCCACTCCCACATGTCCCCCACCCCCCAATACATAAGAGTAAGACTTCATTTTAAGCTATTTAGCAATTACCTCTATATACACTACACAAACGCATGTAAATCAGGACAAAAATATTTTTAAAAATCAAATTAATGAATGTTGTAAATCTTCAATTTTTAGAATATAATTTGGTATTTTTCTGGTTCCGAGACAGCAAAACCCCTTGCTGAAAGGAGTACTTCCAAGGGCAAGGGGAGGAACTTCTGGTGGCAAAGCTCAGGGGTAAGTGGGCAGACTTCCGGTCACAAGATGGCGACCAGGGGGTGGGGCACCTGTCAGGGGGCAGGGCTACCCATGTGGCCGACAGCTTGCCAAAATTCGGTAAGCGGCCCTCCGCCTGAAATAATTGTCCATCCCTGGCCTAATAGCATAGAAACTCTGCTAAAATACCTGAGATTTTGAAAGATGCTTAATGCCACCTATCTCAAGTTCTTTTGAAAAAAAATCAACAACTCTATTATTCATGTTTAGAAGTCACAATTAAAAGCATACAAGTACAAAATGCAAATAGCTCTGGATTCATTTTCAAACTGTAGTTTGATCAGAGAAGCTCCCATATTAAATTACTGAAGAGGAGCCACATTATTTGGCACATTAAGCGTTTAAGGGGTAGTATACAGATTACCGTTTCACAACACAGTAGTCTGATACAAATTAATTTCTAGTGAAATGCACAAGAAATTTTTGCCTGAGTTAAAATCAGAGCCTGAGAACCTTCCTCTCAGTGTGTAAATACCAAAATCTTTTATTCAGTAAATGCTGTAGAATTTCTGGATAGGCAGGAACAGAAAGAAAAAGAGGGAATGCCCTGAAACGAGCAAGGTAGCCAAATATAAGAAATATACCAAAACATTTCAAGTTTGATTTAAAAATTTCATATAATGATCCTCCTATATGAATTATATCCACACCCATCTTCACACTAGGTGGCTAAAACTTTTGAGTGCTGCTCTGGCAACTTTTGAGTGCTGGTCTGGCAACAGCAACTAATTTTGTAAAACAGTAGTAGTGGCAGCAACCAGCAGCAGCAGTAATAGTAATAGTGGTAGTTTGTTTATTGTATTATTTTAGCAAAAGCAGTAAAACTGACACTAAAATTATATATAATAATGAAATGTACAGATTTTTCTATGAGCATGTAATAACACTGCATATTACTTGAGTTCTTACAAAACTGAAACAGGACATAGTATATGATGACACACCAAAAAAAGATAAAATGAAGCAATGTACAATAAAGAAAGTAAAATTAAAGAACAAGGGAATTCCATTTTTTGCCCCTTATTCTTTGTGCAAGTAACACAAATATTCCTAAGGAATATAGGATAGGTTGCAAGTTGTTAGAGAGAAGTGAAATTATTTTTTCTTCCTTAGCTCAGTCTGTACAATTTTCCACAAAAAGTGATTTAACCCATCTATCTCCTGCCAGAACATATCTTGTCTGAATATGGGGTCCAATACCACTGCCCATAATGACTGCAGTTCTGAGTGAATCCCAGTTTAGTAATAGCCTCTCATTGTAGTTTTACACTGCATATAGATAGGTTTCTAGGGCTGTACTCAGTAATCACATTTATCCCAGGATTAACAGTTTATCCCGGGACAAAGTGCAACAATACAATTGTTTATTAGGGCTGTGCAAAGCTTCATTCCCTGACTCAATTCAGCCCAATTCGGTGGCCAAATCTCTGAATCAAATCAGAGGACCTTTTAACCTCTCCGAATCGAATTAGAACCCTCCAAATTGATTCAGAGAGATTCAGACATAGAGACAGCTTTAAATGTTTTTTCTATATACCTCTGGGTAGCAGGGGCTCATGAGTGCTGTGATGCTGAGGTGCGCGAAGTGTCCCACAGGAGCACGAGGGGCTCCCCAGCGCGCTCGGCAGTAGACCCGGAAGTGGACCAGAAGCACTTCCAGTCCAGTTCCAGGTCTGCTGAGGAGTGCACAGGGGGGCCCCCCATGTCCCCAGCTCAGCGACTGGTGCCTCCTGGGTCTGGGGGGGCACCTGGGGAACCCCTGCAGCTGATTGCTGAGCTGGGGAGGTGCGAGGGACCCCCGTGATCTCCCCAGTAGACCTTTGAAGCGGACTGGAAGTACTTCCGGTCCACTTCTGGGTTCCCTGCCGAGCACGTGAAGGGCCCTCCCGCACTCTTGTGGGATGCTCCATATGCCCCAGGATTGCAGTGATCATGAGCTGCACCTGGTACCTCAAGGCTTGTAGAAAAATCTTTTAAAGCTGTGTCTATGTCCGAATCGCTGATTCTCTGAATCAGCATCGACTCTTCAGATTTGGATTCATCTGAATTGAATCAGGGACAGTGATCCGAATCAACAAATTGAATCACTGTCCCTGATTTGGGCTGAATCTGAATCGAATAGGGCTTGCTTTGCACACCTCTAATGTTCACGTCCATTGTCCTCAGACAAATCTTAAGTTTCCCAGATAAGAGAGAGTAACTGTTTTTCCCAGGATATTACATGGGTGATGTACGTATATACCAATACCCAAATATTTTTGTTCCAGGACAAACATAGGCACACAACTTACCCTGTGACAAATGTTCCTAGGCTAGGACAAATGAATGCTTAAATCATCTAAAAAAAAACTCTCTGCCTGCATGCTGGAATCTTTAATTCTTAAAATGTATGTCTTGTTTAAAACAGAGGTAACAGTGACTATCAGCATATTTCCCAGGCCATTTGTCTGGAGGAGAATATAAATGTTACTTAACCATCTAAAGAGGTTTATTTGGAAAATGAGAGGCTTCTAAAATACACTTCTTAGGGTATCTGATAGGGGTACAAGCTGTATTTTTCAGTCCACTAACTTAGAGTTCTTGACTGAGCTAAAGTGCTCATATTAACCAGCCCTATTTCAGAAACCATGAGCTCACCCGTGGTAGAATTTAGTAGAGCTAAAAGCAGCCTTAAAAAGTAATTAGAGGTTTTTTTCTATTTTAGATCAAACCATAGGGTCAGCACCCCACAGTTCCGCTCCATAAAATAAAATGAACTTTGACATAGAGACTTAAAGACCTTTAGTGCTGCCCTTCTGTTCATCTTTTTGTAACAGTAGAAAATTTCACCTGTAAAACTAATTGTAAGCAGATTCAATTTTATAAGACTTCAGTGAGCTTTTGTTTCAAAAAAAGGAAAACTATCTGGCACTAGCATTCATTCAATCCTTTACGGAATACTGACTTAGAATAAAACTTTGCCAACAATTATGCTTTATAGAAGTATAAAAAACATACCTCTGAGGGTGCCTGAGTTGAACTTATGTAATAAATAAGAAACAACCGCATCTTGTCTTCTGGAGTTCCCGCTATAGAGAGGAAAAATGGGTTTGTATCTTAAATAAGTGTATAGACTATACAACTTTGTAGTTCACTACATTATGTTACATATCCTATACACTGAACATTTAGATCAGTGGTGCCCAAATCAGCGGTGTCTACAATCCCCAAAGTGATAAATAACCAAAAATCCACTTAATTAAAAAGAAAAAAAAACCACCTTGCTAGTTACAGTAATTGGTCTGGTCCGTACCAGTACTTCTAGGAGTAAAAGATAAGCATCAATAAACCATAGTAGCATTACGGCTTATTCTAATTAGCAGTATGCACACAGATAAGTAGATTTGCATCCTACATCAAACAGAATGCTATGGTAAAGAAACAGTATGAAAGTAAAAGAACTACAGCGCTATAGAAATACCTTTACTTTAAGATAATCAATTTAGCTACACTGACCTAAATTTGACTGAAATGTAATAGTTACCCTCATAAGCTGAAAAGATTTATGTCGGGCTTTCGTGAGAAAAAAATTCCTTACATCTCCCAGACAAGGTTCTCTGGATAAATGTTACCTCTCCCACACACCTATATATAGCTTTTCACATCCTGCTGACCCAACTGTTACACCATCCGGATTCCTCCTACTATTCCATAAAACCTTCTATCCCACTGGTTACTCTGTTCATGTCCTCTCTTGTCTATGAACAAAAATATAAGTACTCTATAACTAAAAGGAAGTCTTTGTAGACATAGGAATGTATGAGATAAATATATTTTAAGAGATATACTTGGAGATGGAACTGAAATCAAAGAGGAGTGATTAAAAAATAAGGATGGCAATAGAATACTATGAAAAGTGTGAAATACTCAATATAAAGAAGTGTGTTACGAGGTGGTAAAGGTCTTTCCTGTCGTTAAAGTAGATGTTTTGAAGCTGAGAAGCACGGGAGAGAGATTTGAGTTACAATGCCAATGATGGATTATTTATTCTAAAAGTAAGTTCCACAAAGAATGGAAACTGTATCTGAAATAAAGCAATTACTTATTTGAGACATCTGATATAGAATCATAGAAAATCAGGGTTGGAAGGGACCTCAGGAGGTTATCTAATCCAACCCCTTGCTCAAAGCAGGACCATCTAACAACTATATAATCCCAGCCAAGGCTTTGTTTAGCTGGGTCTTAAAACCTCCAAGGATGGAGATTCTACCACCTCTCTGGGTAACTTGTTCCAGTTCTTTACTCTCCTCAAGGTGAACAAATTCTTTCTAATATCTAACCCAAACTTCCCTTAGCAGAACTTGTGACCATTGCTCCTTGTTTTGTCATCTGCCAGCACTGAGAATAGTCTAGCTCTGTACTCTTTGGAACCGCCCTGCTGGTAGTTGAAGGCCGCTATTAAATCTAGGGGTGCACCAAAAGAGATCTTGCGGGCCAACACCAACAGCCAATTTTTAAGGAGGCATATTGGCTGATACTGATTCCATTTCTGATACAGCTGTGAAGCTGGTAAGTCTGTTGTGGTGGAAAGGGAGGCAGGAGGAGTGTGGGGGGGCAGATCAACGCCACCTGTGGTAAGGGAGCGAATGAGGCTGGGGCAGTCGCTGCCCAGCCAGGATGGGGTGGGGTGCGGGACAGAGCTGTGGCTCCTGCTGCACGCACCCTGGGAAGGCACCGGGGGGGGGGGGGGGGGGGGGGGTCGGGGGG